TCCTGCTAGCTACAGTAGTCATGCAGACTGAGGTCCCAGGATCTTTCATTGTACTCAGGGTATTGTCATCACCTTTAAAAAAACATTAGGTTTATTTTATTAGAGGGGGGTGAAATATTGCTGTTTAATAAAGCAGTGCTCTTCATCCATGGATGCCCCAGACTAATTGCTGTTGAAAAGGCACTTATGGGAAACAATCCATGATATTGAGACCTCGTGGTTTAAGATTGCCTCGTTTTGTTGTTGGTTTTTTCATTCCTGTAGTTTTAGGACTGGAGGAAAGAAGAAAAAGGAGTGAGCATGTCTGATGTTCTCTACCTTCCCCTGCCATTCCGGTCCTTTATTGCCAGGTTGAAATGATGTCCGTCCTGCAAACGAGGCATGATTTCGTGATTATCATCCAAAACTGAGCCTCAAGTTGAGGAACCCTGTGCATCCCCGCTCAGCCCTCCACCCTCCCGACCACATGTATCACAGCCTGCTGAGGAGATGCTGGAAGGAGAAATTCTTTTTCTCCTTGGTTAATTTCTGCTTATTGAATTGTCCGATTTCATGGAAATTGGGGAGGGTGGTGTGTAAACATTGTAACAGGGACCATCTGGATTCCTTTTGCTGAGTTCGTCAGCACAGAATGCTCTGAAAACTAAATAACAGCTCTGGACCCTAAAAGGGCCAGGGAGCATTTCTCTGTGTGATGGAATCAACCTGGGTCCTGTATCCAAAGCAGCACTTTATCACTATATGCCCGTGACTGTTACCAGGACAGTGAGACTATACGAACTGGTTAGCCCAAGTTCATCATCCCTTATGAAAGACAAGACAAAAAACAAAAAACAAAAAACAAAAAAAGCACCTTGGAAGTATAGTTCCTGCTGATCTAGGTCAATTCCATCAGCTCTCCATTTGAAGACTTTGATGATCGGTTATCCACGTCTCACTGGGCTCAGAGATACCCGGAGGTTTTGTTTGTTCAGTCTGAAATGATGGAGCCTCCGTCTAATTTTAATTGCAATGTGAAGTTGAGAACGTCAGTGTCTACTTTTCTTGTTTTAACCTAGTGTCCTTCTGAAGACGGTGTGTCCATGGTACTTATTTCAGGGACAGAAGTTCCAGAGTTCATACCCTCTGTGATTTCAGATTTGGCAGAAGGTAGAACAGAATGTTCCACTGGGCTGGAACCAGGCTCTTCTCAGGGAATTCAAGGATTAGGTCCTACAGCACGAGGGCATCTGTCCTTTGGGAAGCTGTATATAGGTGTTGGTTGTGCCTGTGACATAAGAAAGAAAGAAATGACACATCTTCCTTAGGACATGCCAGGAAACTGGATTCACACTCGGCAATTTCAGGGCATGGAGTGTGGCATCTGTGTGACTGTGCTTGGTAGAAGCCTGTGAATACAAAGATCTGCTCTTTTGAATTCTAATAACCATGGTGAGTTTATCATCACACATAGAATGACTCAACAAATGGGTTCTTTCGACTCTGAGTGAGGCACCTTCTCCACAGTTCTATTAATTAATAAAAATTTATTTTTTGGATTCTGATCATCATTAGACTGAATATGATTGGGTTGTAAGAGAAAGATGACCTCATGTTGCTTGTAACGTAAACTTGATGTCTGGATTACGTCATTGTATTGATTTCTTGCCTTTCTTAACTTTCTAGGCTGAGGACTTAATCCGACAACATGAAATTGTTTGAGTTTTCAGATAAGCCAGTTTGATGATTTAACAGTCATCTATTTTTCTTGCCTTGTGTTTTCCATTTCAGGAATCGTCCCAGTTATCTGGACTTCCTGAGTATGTTAAAATAGTAGAAGTTGGACCTCGGGATGGGTTGCAGAACGAAAAGGTAGTTTGATACTTGTTTTACATAGTTCATTTAAAATGCTAAATCTAAATATTAATATTTATTAAGATTCTAGAGACATCTATGGTGTTCACATATTAGATGATTATATTTGTTCTCAGTTGCTACTTGAATTTATAAATCTTAAAGAGTATTTGCTTTCAGTTAGGAATTAATTTTCTATTTATGCTTCAGTAGACCCTATGCAAATTACTTATAAAATCATCTTTTAATGTTTTCCTAGGTTATAGTTCCTACAGATAAAAAAATTGAATTTATCAATCAACTTTCCCAAACTGGCTTGTCTGTAATAGAAGTGACCAGCTTTGTGTCTTCCAGATGGATACCACAGGTACGTAAATCCATAATTCCTTAACTGGCTTCTTAATTCAACATTGCCAAGACTTATCGAACAGTGTGATAGGCATTGTGATATTAACTTGATATAATACTAATTTGCTATGTTCTTACAAAATATTAGCCCATGCAATGAGATACAATTAAAGAAAAACCTCTTTAATGAAGTGGATCAATTACGTCCTAAAAAGTTATTTGGAACTCCATCCTAACCCGACACGGGTGTATGGTCCAGTGTAATGAGTAGAGGATAAGACTCAATAGCAGTGTGGATTCCTGTCCTCTGTTAGCCATTCTACTGATTTGATGAGTGGTCTGAATATCCCCAGGTGATTTAGCTTTTTTGTCTGTTAGAAGGAAATGATGATGAGTGTGACCTGATACCTTCCCCATGTAATCCCACGTTAAGTAGTGAAAAATACAAATCTGCACTGTTTTTCAATGCTTATATTTGCTGAGTTATATATATATGTGTGTATATATATATATGTATATATATATATTCATAAAAGATAAGATAAAGGAAGTCATCTAGACTCTTCTCTTGAAGAGGACAGAGGTGTATCCAGAGGTGGCTGGCATGTGGCGACAATCATCACTACTGAGACGTGGCTCTGATCCTAGAAATGTGATTAGTAATTAGCAAACAGTGACACCTCCCCACCCAACTTCTCAATCCGGTTCCCACTCCATGGATCGTTGGATTCCGTGGACCCTGTTCTTATTCCTTGGACCCCTCAGTCTCTCCCCAGGACTTCACTTCCCTGATTACTTTTTCATCCTGTTCCCTTGGTTGCCATCCTTCTCTGTGGGCCTCCTCCCCTGACTCCCCTGTTGCTCTTTTCCTGCTGTCCCTGATGACATGTCACCACCACCAAGTTTAAGGCTCCCTTGGGATCCTGCAGTAACTTTCTCCACCCGTGCTCTCCGATTTGCCGACCCTTCCAACGTTGGCAGCCCCTGCTGAGAGGCTGACAAAGCTGTATTTCTAGTCATGTCCTTTCTGATAAGCTTCACCTGGACATGCCACCAGCGCCTGAAATTCAGCGGTTTCGAAATCAGACTCGTTATTGTTCATCCTACTTTATGCTAATAGCCCGATCCTTCCCTTTGGAATCTTGGATTTGAATTTTCCAAAATCTGTCTTTTGTATCTAGTCAGACTCAAAAATTCTTCCTCCCCAATCTAGCCTATACTTGGCTCTTTCTTCCAACTCCATTGATGCATTGGTAATCCACACCCTTGGTGACTAATTGTTGTGATAGTCCCTTCAGTAAAATTCGTAAACACCATTTCTCCCTTCCTTATGTATTTTGCCCATAGCCAGAGACCCCCACCTCCTCAAACTCCCATCCTCAGCTCTTTTGAAGCTCCCTTCTCCCTGTTGAAAAAGTCTGGAGACCTGGCCTGGTGATGGAGGCCTCTCTACCCGGCCCCTCCTCCCCTTTCCAGCCTTCGCTCTATTCCTCTACTTCCTTCTGCTGAAGCTCCTGTCAAACCAAACTGCCTCTTGTTCCCGCTTCCATCCTGCCTCGTCATCTGTACTCGCTTATGCACGGCTCCATTTCTGCACTGCTCTGCACTTGCAACAGGATGATGTAAAACTGCTTCAAACACTAAAGCCTTCTTAATTGCAAGGCGTGGAAAGCGACCGAATCCACAATGGGATTGGTAGTGTTAATCATACATCACTTTTCAGAGTCAGTATTCAAACATCAGGGCTGCTCTTACTTATCCTCACAACAAATTTAACTTTTCTTTTTCTTTCTTTTCTTTTTTTTTTTTTTTGTTAGGGGGAGATGTAATTAGGTTTATTTATTTATTTAATGGAGGTACTGGGGATTGAACCCAGGACTTTGTGGATGCTAAGCACGTGCTATACCACTGAGCTATATATACCCTCCCTGCTCTCCAAACTAACTTCTCTTCATCCCAGTTGTCACTGTTTACAATCATACCTATTTTTGGTAGATGTGTTCCAGTTATCTGCTTGCTAGACTAGAAGAGTTATGGAGGCAGTGACCCTGTCTTTCTTGCTCATCACTGTATCCTCAAGTCTTTGGTACCTAGTAAGTAGGTGCTCAATAAATATTGTGAAATGGATGATGAGTCAGTCAACCTGAAACAGCAATAACCCATCACTGAATTCTTTGGCACACACAAGTAAGTCTTACTTTTGTCCATGTACTTGGTCTTGTGTTATAAAGGCCTCTGATATTTCCCTTAGGAAGACAAAGTAGCTTGATGAGATTAGACGTGTCTCCTTGACGTTGTCATTTTGTAGAATGACATTATTATTATTTTACCCGTGGTCATGTGAGACCCTTTATCATCTTTACATCTTCATGACACTGCCTCTGTCTTTGATTTTGTCAGGGCTCTTTTCACGTATCTGACCACTGTTGGAGAGAGACACTGGATAAGCCGATATAACTTTAGAGTAAGGTGTAGGAGAGAGGACAAGGTAATATTAATGGTGACCCACCAAAGCTATATTTCAGATTTTACATTTTGCTCTTCCTCTTCAAGATACTTTTATTTCCCCATGGTTTTATACAGCTGCCTGGAAAATCTGCCTCTTTACTGCAGTGATGCTGAGGGTCATATTCTATTATTCCACGATACCAGAAAGTATTTGATAGATAATTCTTCAGACTGATCTAGGACACCCCCAGGGCCGTTTCGAAGGATGAGGCTGGAACCCTTTGTGGAAGGGCTTCTCTTCTTTCATGGCTACTTAATAGAAAGAGGGACAGAACAGAGGGAGGGGCCGTCCCTGTGTGAGCAGTAAGAGGAACATGCCTTCTGGCCTCACATTAAGTAGAAATATGTGATGGGACCATAAAAGAATATGATTCATTCTGGAGCTTGGTCCGGAGGTGAATGCAGGACTTAACCTACTGAGATGCACTGAAGTCTTCCTAGGCTCAAAGCATTATCGAATACATGATGGAATTCCCCACTCAGCTTGTGAGGACAGCTGTGGTTGAGGCAGAAGTATCTTTGTGCTGTGTTCCTGTCAATATTCTGCCTGGAACTGGGGGTAAGTGGCTTCACCTCTTTGATTCCTGGAAATTCCAACCGTGATGCCTGCAGCATGGGAGGGCTTAGGGCGGTAAAGCCTGTGAATGGGTCCCTGTGTGTGAGCGCCTGGAGCCCAGGCTCCCAGACAGGCTCACCAGTGTTATCTGAGTGAATGCCGGGCTGATGGATGACTGACTAACTGATCGTGGGCTCCACGCAAGTCAGTCCCCTTTTCCTTAAAGACTAAAGTATATGCTTAGTTTAAATATTGGATCAGGCCCCTATCCGAATAATTAAAGGTATTCGTTCTTCAAATACTAAAGAATATGTTATATCCTGCTGGCCTCATGACAGGCCAATAAATTGGGAGACGAGGTGTTGGAGCAAGGAATAACAACTTTATTTGGAAAGCCAGCAGCCCGAGAGGATGGAGGACTAACGTTCCTGGAGAACCATGTTCCCCAAGTCAGAATTCAGGCCCTTTTTATACTAAAAAGGGGAGGGGGTGTGGTTGATTGTTGCAAACCTCTTGGTTTTGGAATCCTTTGTTCTTGCAGGTGTCCATGTAGGTCAGCTCATGGTGTCCCTGTAAACCTTCAACAAGACAAATGTTATTCTCTATTCTGCAACTTTTTATCTCTATGTAAATAAAAACTATTATATCCTTCAAGGTCAGAGCCTTGAGAAGGGGCTTTCCTGTCTGTTTCAGGCTCTAGGCAACATTCTTTTACAAAAGGTGCAGAACCAGCATGGCTGAGCCCCGGAAACAGAGCACAGGGTGAGAGCTAAAGAAACAGATCTCATATGGAGTCAGATTGGTTCTTCCCTATTACAATCTGGTTACATACATTCCCAACCAAAGAAAAAAAAAGTGTTCTCAATAAATCCCTGAGCCAGAGATATTATCAGATTCAACTTCCAAAGTTATCCGGTCACCTACTCCATAACACATCAAGGGTTTTCCAAAGGGCAATATTGAGAATATCCCATTTCTGCAGCTGGATTTTCTTTTTGTAAATGTTTTGTAATTTTAATTTTTTTTTATTGTAGTCTAGCCAGTTTACAATGTTGTGTCAATTTCTGGTGTATAGCATAATGTTTCAGTCATACATATACATACATATATTCATTTTCACATTGTTTTTAATTATAGGTTATTGAATATGTACTTATTCAATAATAATAATACATTAAAATGAAGTAAACATAATAAATTAATGAAAATAAAATAATAACGTGTATTGAACATGGTTCCCTGTGCTATACAGAAGAAACTGTTGTTTATTTTATATGTAGTAGTTAGTATCTATAAATCTCAAGCTCCTAACTTATCCCTTCCCACTCCCTTTTCCCCCCTGGTAACCATAAGTCTGTTTTCTGTGTCTGTGAGTCTGTTTCTGTTTTATATATAAGTTCATTTGTATCTTTTTTTTTTAGATACCACATATAAGTGATATCATATGGTATTTTTCTTTCTCTTTCTGACTTACTTCACTTAGAATGACGATCTGTAGGTCCATCCATGTTGCTACAAATGGCATTATTTCTTTTTTATGGCTGAGTAGTATTCCATCGTATAAATATACCACAGCTTCTTTACCCAGTCATGTCGACGGATGGATTTTCTGTAGCAGTGCTTGGATTCTAGATTTCACTGAGCTTGCCTGAACGAGCATTTTCTATTGTTGTAGTAGAGGTTATTCCATCACGTGACTCTGCTGATTTCATTGTTTTATACTAAAAAAAAAAAGGCCTTACATCAGCAGAACTAACTCATTATGTTAATTTCTCTTCTGAAACGTAGTTATCAAAATGTCAGACACCAGGCTCATCTAAAGTAACACGCGACATTTGTGCCAGAATGACAGTGTGTCAGCTGACATGTGATTGCCTGCGGTAGTTTCTACTGTTTCTAGGCATCGCGTGTGTGGCTCTCAGTTGGGATTCTGTTCACCCTCTGCATCTTCTTCT